GAGAGATCTTTAGCAATATATAAGATCGTAATAATAATGCGTCCTGACATAGACGTCTGGAACAACTTCAAAATTTTTATTGAGCAAAATAGATGACATACATTTTTAATTATATATCCCAATATTATCTTTCCCATTATTATCTTTAAATTCTTATTTAATTTCTAGCTGTATACAGAAGCTTGTACGGATATACTAAATTAAGTAGACATTCTTGGCATTAGATTTTTTCCTCAATATATATTAAACTAATTTCTCATAAAAATATAACGTGTTATTTCAAGCACGCGTCTTTTATATTATATGACGTATATATCATGTATTATGTAATATTACTTTATCAGTTAATAGAAAGTCTATTTGTTAAAATAAAAAGAGTTTGAAATAATAATTTTATGTTAAATAAAATTAAGATAAAAATTCATAAGATTTTTTGATATATCCGTTTTAGTTGGATCTAAAACGCACAAAAGCTCAACATATCTTCACTTCACTTGCCTAGGATTTTACATCATGAAATCTTATGAACTTTCACATACAACGATTCGCTCACTTTGAGCGAAGCATTACTTGAATTTTTATCTCCGGTTACTCGTCTTTCATTGCCTTTCAGCGTGACATATGCTGTTCAGATCTATGAAGAAATTTCCTATGATTTGTTACTTTAAATTATATGATACGGAATTAAAGAAAGAGAAATAGAATTATTAGGCGAAAAAATTATAACAGGTGTGTGTGTCAGAAAATAGCGGGAAGACCTTTTTTTATGTTCTGTATAAATATTATGTTACACTATACACACTCTTTACAATTTTACAACAGCAGGCCAACGAGCGAGTTTAGCTTGCTACATTATACACGCAGATAATTATTCACAACCGAATGAGGAGACAAGTCGAAAGCTTAATCAATAAAAAATTAGTAACAGAAATCAACGAATTATTTTACGCTGTCCCAGATTCATTCCTGATTCTCAATTCATAAAAAAAATTTTCCATCTCGTTCATGATCGATTTGTCTACAAAGAAATTCATATAATTTTCGACATATCGATCCTTTTATTTTGTGTAATTAAAATTTTTCTAAATATTCATTTTTTTTCAAATTTATCGTATTTTTATTAACACGGAATAAATATATTTTTTCTTTCTTTTTTTTTGTTTGTTAAGTGAATGCTTCGAAACATTTAATGGCAGAAAACAGGAGCAGTTGGCGCATTTCTTGAATGTCTGTATTATAATTATGCCACATTTATATGATGTAATATTTATAGACTTAGGTGCACTGATTATCTTCGTGATATCTTGTATATATTTTTTATAAATATATCAAAGGATAAAGCGCATGTCTTAATGACATATCTCTTTCCGATGTGAACGAATATTATTTATACAGTTTCACTAGCATCCTTACTATCTCGCTGGCACAGCTGGCATTTTCTCAAGGAAGTCTTGCTCGATTACAGTCTCCAATTGCGTGTTATTTATCGGCACGTACGTGTCGCACGTAGCGCGACTAAGGCTCGAGAAGAAATGATGCAAATCTTGCAAAGACCGAACGTTATTCGACGTTAGTAGAAGTTCTCCCGGATTTCTTTTGGGCGGTGGACCTTCTGGCTTGAACTGTAAAAAGAGATTGGTACCAATTTTACAAAAAATAAAAAAGGAAAATTCCTATTTAATATATGATAAAAAAACAATATGAAACAATACGTAAAAAAAAAAAAATAAAAAATGAAAAATGAAAAATGAAAAATTACGTCTGTAACGCTAAATATTGCACAACACTACTCGACTCGAGATCGCACATTGGCTTAGTTGCAAAAATGAATGTACACACACACACACACACACACACACACACACACACACACACACACACACACACACACACACACACACACACACACACACACACACACGCTTTTGCTTTCTCACGTTCTAAAATAAAATAAGTATTTCAGTATTGCTGACAGCGTTTGTACACTAAGTTCTTGTAATTTTGAATCTTGTGATATATATACCAGTTATAGCAAACGCGAAATTTGGATCACTATTATTTAAGAAATAGAAATAGAAATAGAAATTTTTATTTTTCTCAGGGAAAAAATGATTAACTAATGATATACTACTAGTAACAAAGGAATGAATTAAGAATTTTTTCGTAACGTAATAACAGCAATGTCTTTAAGCGGAACCGATATAAGAGCAGGGTCATAGTGATAATTGAGACTACTTATACAGTTTAATCCTAAGAGTATATACCAAGTTTGTCGATCGTCCGTACAGAAACAATCACAGCGATGGCCTGGTTGAAAATCTTATCTTATTACATTTTGTGCACTGTAATAGTTGTTACTGCACGTGAGTATCAAAGCAATATGATCATTTAAAAGATTCCTTCATATTTCTCTCTTTTAAAAGAAAAACATAGGCTTATATAATGATGCTTTCTTTCAATTCTCTTCTTGCTATAATATTCTACTTTCTTTTATTTATACGGGATATTTAAATTTATAATTTAAAAATTAAATTGTACCTTGATAATTTTATGAAAGAAAAATCAATCATTCTTAGAATTGATAAAAAAAAAGATGAAATTTAAAAAAGTGAAACATAATTCGTCTATTCATTTTTTTTGTTTATGGTAATTATATTCTGAATGCTCTTGATACAATTGAATATGATTTTAATGTAAGTTAATTGACATTAATTATGAGAACAAATATATATTAATGAAGAGCTGCAGATAGAACAACCTTTCTTACGAAGTTAATTTAATCAATTCCATCTCCTCTTTAAACGAGAAAATTATTTAATTTTTTTAATTCTTATTTTAAACTAAGTCTTTTAAACATTAGATAAATAAAAAATATTAAACCAGAAACGCGATTTACAAAACATCGCATAATAATCTATTTCATTTTTCAATATTTATTTAATTAAATAAATAAAAAGAATTAATTTTATTCACACTTTACTAATGTGCTACTATTCAATTAATAAATATTGCGAATTTAATTATCACAGAGTACATGGGCGATTACGATTTTGATTTCTATGAAGATTTACCAACGGACCGCTCAAAAAGTTTCAATAAAGAATACAACAGTATCGGGCAAGATGACTTTTACATTGCAAACAATCTCGATGACACAGAGAATCAAGATGGCACGTATCTTAGTTCAAATTACGCTGTTTTTAGAAACAGTATCGATTCTTTTGAAAGGAGTCTCTTCGATAAGCAGTTTAACTGGTACAAACTGTCTGAGAAAGTTTATAGATACACCAAGCATCGAATTTCCGGATACGATTGCGATGAATTTGATTATATGCGTTCAAGGAAGATTCAAGAGTGCGACGACAAATCGATTTGGATGCATTGTCTTTGCCAATTCACATGTTCGAAGCCGGATGAAGTGGACTGTTACACACCGTGCAGAAGTGGATGTGAATGCAAGGAAGAGTACGTTTTTGACGAGAAAGCACAAAGATATCTGTTACCCGAGGAATGTTCGATAGAAAATTACAATTACAATTACTAAATTTTATATTCTCATTCTTAACATTCATTAAACTACTCTTATGCTACTAAACTGCGCCGAATAATTTATCATGTCATAAAAGCAATCGCGGTAACTTACCTTACTGTCCATCAATTTCGCTATTCTTGTAATATGCGGCACAAAGTCCGAGGATAAGTTGTTGTTATCTGTACAACCTGCCGCTGCGTCTCCGACGAACGCCCATTTATACCTGTAAACGAGATAATATAGATTACTTCAGAATGGAGTAAATGTAGCTTCAAAATTTTTCTCCTTCCGCTTACATCTGAAACTGTGGTAATCTGTGTGCGGGCAACAGTAACGCGAGATCTAGCAGCTTGGCAGCGGCCAGTTGCAATTGTAACCAGTGAGGATGCCCATGTGCTTGCAGTCCGTTGCTGGCGTTAACAGCCCATGATGAGTCCAGAGCCGATAATAACTTGATGTGCGAACTGTGTGCAAAGAAATATAAATAATGTGTCATTTAATATATTGCTAGTGGATAACAAAGAGCAAAAATTTTTTTGGAATCATAATTTAATATCCACAAGAATAATACGCAATTTCCCTGTAGAAGTCAATCAACAAGATACAAGATTGTTATTAGTAATAGTAATACCCTTTGACATTCATGTTCGACACAGTGATGTAAAGGGCTTTTTATGCTCCCAAGTTCTTTTAAATATATTTGTATCTATAGCCAAGTACTTTTTTCTTAGCAAATACTTGCATTTAGTCTTTTGAGTATTTATTTGTTTTTGAAATATTTATCATATATTTTCATATTCAAAATTGATAGTTTGTGTAATGTAAAAATAATTTTAGTATATGATATGAAAATGATTTTTGTGCGTATTGTGAATTTATTTTAAATGTTATATTTTTAAGTATTGAAATTAAAGTATCTTTTACATCACTGTACTCGAGTTTCCTTACGACATTAACAGTATGCATACGCGTGCGGTATGTACGTCGGATATGCATTGGGCCATTGAGTTACCTGCTATGACGACTGCCGTCCCAACACCATTCAAGTTATGGAGGCACCACAAATCCCATCAAATTGCGAAGATGCCGAAACAGAGCCAAAACAATACGATATTAGATAGTATCCATGTTAGTAGGGCGGGAGGGGAGGGACATACACAGACAAATATTCTGCTATTTAATATCCTCAATATCTATACACATATATAAGACCACGAGAAATGATCTTATATCACATAATTTTATCTCGTTTCTCTTCCATGTATTATAAGACTCCATTTTTCGTCGCAATCACATTTCGAGAATTTTGAAAATATTGGTGATTATTGGATCAAATTATTGATTTCAAAAGTAGTGTGGAATATCAATCATGCCAGTAGTGTATATTAATAATATATTTCCATAAAAAGATTTTGCATTATAGCATTTTTTTGCGATGTTAACGAATCTTAGAGAGAAATCAGAATATAATAATAATAATAATAAATGCCAAACCGATACTGATTGTTCATGTATAATAAAATAACGCATATATTAAAAATATAATTTTGAAAGAAGATTAAAAATGAAGTAATTTCAATACTTAATAAACAATCGCATATTGTAAACGTACATGCACATACGAAGCAACAGCGTCCCACAAGCAAGTTTGTCCAAAATAAGCACCTAGATTAGATAAATTTACGTACCTAAACTCTTCGCTATCTGTATTTAATTCCTGCTCAATATAGAGGAATACTTGAACAAGCTCGCTAACAATAACTGGCCATAAGGATGTTGCGTGTTGTGGTGACATTCTCAATAGCAGTACGCGAAAACAGAGAAACACTTGCGCCTGAATAGACGGGATTACTTGAGGTAGACGTAAACTGTCTGCTAAACGTTCTAAAAATAAAATAATCAGTGTGTGAAAACAATTATTAAATATATATAATATAGTCTATAAATGTATCTCGCAAATATATGTACCTTGTATCTCCGGCATATATTTATGATATTGATCCATTTCACTACAAAGGATGACGAACGCCAAACGTTTCAAGAGCTGCGCTTTCTGCTCATATTCCTGTTCCTTCGAAGAAAATATACTGATCCCGCTGCCTTGAGCCATGGAAACGCGATCTATTTAACAGATCAGTAATATGTTAATTTATTTGATTATAATTGATGCACGCATTACGTAAATATAGTAAAAAAAAAATGTGTTACTCATTAAATCTCTGAAAGTAGTGTTGTCGTGCGTCATTAGATTGTCTATTATGGTTCTCCAATATGGCAGACAAGCCGGTATCATTTGGAAAAAGGCCGAGTCAAGTAACAAGTCTAAAACATCCTTGCGCCATGCCTTTCTCGTGTACTGATATCCTGATAAGGAAGCCAGTAGTTGAGAACAGGCGGTGAATGAAGCGATATTTTTTATCCTGTAAATTAGATAAAGTAAGCAAAGTTCATGTTATTCTTTTTTGTGTGAATCTTAGAGAAAAAACAAAATCTTTACAGTTGAACTTACAGCTTTACAGCTAACTTACGTGTGATTCTTGAGATAAGGTGTAACATTATACATGAGATTTGTCAGAAGCGTTACCACACGTTCCTTTTCTTGCGAACCATAACTGACATCCAACAGTGGTGCAAGTATTTCCGCTAATACCGCTTGCGCTTGAACACTGTATGCCGCGTTAGGTGGGGTTCCAGGTGTTACTGTAACACAAAACTTTCAATGAATATACAGAGGAAAAATATAGAGCTATTTTTTTTTACAATTATCAACTATATAAGAAAAAAAAATAAAGATAAAGCGCGATAACAAAAAGATTTTGCTATTACTTTAAATATTCTTAAATATATCTATAAAATAAATTGCATGTTACGCACCAGCACCATTTTTTCCCTCTTTACCTTCCGAAGAACCTTCGACCACTTCAAAAACATCCTCGCGGACGGCCAAATTCCTTCTTAGCCATGTTGTTTGCTCTAAACAGGCACCAGCTATTTGCGAACACGATTCGATCAACTAAAATGTTTTTTAAAAACATCCAACAATCGTGTTAATTATTATACAATACATAAATATATTATACAATATATAAATAAATAATAACCTTTGCAGACACGTCTTGCAAATCTTTGATATCTTTCTTCTCTTGCATAGGTGGGCACTTTTGTACATATTCGTTTAGTATAGCCAGTAAGAGAAATTGGGCAGGTGCTGTTAGCGATAGACCATCCTTTAATAAACTAAACAAGGATGCCCAAGATTCAATAAGCGATTGCGACGTATTACTCTGCATATACACATAAAGTAATTCGAGCACTGAGACTTCCAATGAGAAATCTTGCTTGACTCCATGTATCGGCGGTGGCGTTTTCACTACTTGATGTACGGTATGCACCAAAGTATCAATAGGCATAACACGAATCGCACTAACAAGGTGAACCATTACTTGCTGATTAGGACACGCTTCTGGAAGTATCTGTGAAACAAATAGCAATTAGAAAAAAAAACATTTTTTCCAAAACTGCTATTAGTTGTTCCTCATCTTATTATTTATTTTTTAAATTAGATACAAGATGTCCTTTACCTTTTTTGATGCGGCGGATGATTGGCGCCTTTCATGCCAGGCAACTGCGACTGCAGCCAAGAAGTTGGCTCCATGATGGAAAGAGATTGGAGACAGGAGTTCTAACAATTGATATTTGACTATTCTCGGACTACCCACCACACAACTGGCTTGTTCACTATACAATATTATTAAAAGAATGCATTAATATAATATAAATTTTCTACATATTTTTAATTAAAGAACACAAATAAAATATACTTGTCTTTTGTTGCCAAAACCGCTTGCCATAAGGCAGACAACGATGCTATTATTCTTGGCAAATGACTTAATGCTGTTCTCCTTGCATGTTGTTGCAGCTCATTTGCGCCACTTTTATCTTTAGCTGTGGATAAATCCTACAGCAAACAAAAACTTTGCTATAATGTACCGAATAAATCAAATATTGATTAATATCATATAATCAAATAATATATTTCGTTCAACTAACCGGAGAAAGTGGGCTGGGCATAAAGACATGTATAAGATTATTGAATATTTGCCCAGGATTAGCACCGGGAATTCCCGTTTGTATAGTACCACTTAATGGCTGATTAAACGAGAATCCGATTTGCTGGGAAGTATCCAACAGACAGTAATGGAGTAAATATGTCAAAGCTTCCAAATGTGTCACTGTGTAATCTGCAGGCAAGCAGCATTCCACTGTGCTTATATCTTGCAATTTTGATGTCAATATCGCATCTTCGCTAATATAATATGATGCCAGATGCTCAATATTATTGCATAATTGATGAATAACTGATGTTACAACAGATGTTAAAGACGGTCCCATAAAAGGCAGGCTGGACGTAACAAGGGTTGTCCAATGTTGATGAAGATGCCTCATATGATCCTACAAAATTTATATCCATTACAACAAATCATTATCTCGTTGGAAATCACTTTTTGCTTAATCAAATAAATTCATAATTTATACAATCAATTCTTATAATTTAAATACATTTTATAATAAAAATATTCTATATAATTTAATAAAATAAATTGATAATCTTGTCTAAGAAATACATATAAATTTTAGAATTGATTTGAACAATATATATTGAAACAAATAACATACGAGTTGCAAGGCGCTAAGAATACTAGCAAGAAACATTGGTTGCTGTGGTATTGCTGCCCCAGAAACGTATTTCAATGTCAAAGTATTCCCGATCAAATTTGATGCTCGTGTCGGCGAACTTGGTATGGGAGACATTGTAGAATTAATTTCCTCTCCTTTTTGACTACTGCACTGATGTTCCAACATAATTAATGCTAACAATAACCTTGAAAAATAATAAATCAATTTTATAAAAAATTATACAAATATAACTGAAAGTAATTGTAATACCAATGTGAGTTTCATCAGTCATAGATTAGTAAAATATATTCTTATTAAATTTATCGAATAATTATTATATTATTATATTATTATATTACCGTAACAATTGTATTTGAAAAGCTTCCGTATGATCACTCGCTCTATATTTACATTTGTTA